ACTGCTTTCTTGCAGGGCAGCCTGCACGAGGAGATCTGGCTGCGCCGCCCTCCTGGCTTCACTGGGTCGGTTCCTCCTGGTACCCAGTGGAGGCTTCAGCGGCCGGTCTACGGTCTCCGCCAGGCACCGCGTGAGTGGCACGACACACTGAGGACGACACTTGCGGCTCTTGGGTTCGCTCCCTCTACTGCTGACCCGTCACTGTTTCTACGCACAGACACCTCACTGCCGCCGTTCTACATCCTCGTGTACGTCGACGACTTGGTCTTTGCCACTGCTGATACCGCGGCACTTGCCCACGTGAAGTCGGAGCTGCAGAGGAGACACACGTGCACAGACCTGGGTGAACTGACAAGCTATCTTGGCTTGCGGATCACCCGGGACAGAGCACGGCGCACCATCACCTTGACTCAGTCACACATGGTGCAGCAGATCCTTCAGCGCTTCCGCTTCACGTACTCCTCGCCTCAGTCCACTCCTCTGCCTACCGGTCACTCGCTCTCAGCTCTGCCTTCGGATGAGTCCGTAGAGCCGAGTGGCCCGTATCCAGAGCTTGTGGGCTGCCTCATGTACCTGATGACCTGCACTCGACCTGACCTTGCATACCCTCTTAGCATCCTTGCACGCTATGTCGCTCCTGGCCGTCACAGGAAGGAGCACATGGATGCCGCTAAGAGGGTGTTGCGCTACTTGTGCAGTACGTCGGGCATGGGGCTAGTGCTTGGAGGGCGAGACCGAGTTGTACTTACTGGACACTCAGACGCTTCTTGGGCGGACGACCAGGCTACTCAGCGGTCGTCTCAGGGTTACACCTTCAGCCTTGGCTCCGGCTCAGTTTCTTGGCGTTCTACACGCTCTTCTTCTGTTCTCAGCTCCAGTTGTGAGGCTGAGATCTACGCCACAGCCATGGCTGCCCAGGAGCTACGCTGGCTGACCTACCTGCTGACCGACTTGGGTGAGCGGCCTCGTTCTCCTCCAGTGCTGTACGTCGACAACCAGGCTGCCATTGCCTTGTGTGAGGAGCACAGACTGGAGCACAGACTGGAGCACAGAATGAAGCACATCGCCCTGCGGTACTTCCTTGCTCGAGAGCTGCAGCAGCGCAGTCAGCTTTGTCTGCGTTACGTGGCCACTGAGGCCAACCTTGCTGATGTGTTCACCAAGGCGCTTCAGCCTTGTGACCATCAGCGCTTCTGCACTCTGCTAGGCCTTGTGCCTACTGGACCTCACTTACTTACCTCTTGACCTTGCTTGTACTGTGATCACTATATATATATCTACCTGCATGTTTACTCTTGCTAGGTTGTGATCACTGTATCTCATGCTCTGTTATAAACCTGCATGTGAACTGGTCTTGTGACCACTAGCTTGTGCTCGGAATTTGTGTGGTATCCTTGAGATCCACCCTGAGCTTGTTGTTGCCTTGCTTTGCCTTGACTGGTCTTGTGACCCCTAGGTCTCCCCCACTTTGCCTATGGGGTTGTGTCAAACCTTATATGTGTTGTGTTTATGTAGGCTGTAGTGGGTTAGCCTATAGGGGGGTCACAACATTAGGGTTTCATATTTGTACTCACAATCCTTTCTAGTTCACCATTCCAGTCCGTTATTACTGACATATCACTTTTAGACGGGTGGAACTCTGAAGTTAATTTTTGTTCCCAATACAAATACTAAAACCCGTTCGGATGGGATTTAATTTGGGAGCATCAACCCTAAACACCTTCTCGCATAGTGTTTAGGGTTGATGCCTCCCGAAGGACTTGCCATCCAGTAGGGGTTTATATTTTTTTACGCCATTTCCCTAAATGTCAGGGCTACAATAATGCGCGAGGTAACAAGCAATCAACGTTAAGATTCCCCAAGATTTTTACTGGTACTTTCGTGGTTTCAAAATAATTATGATCGTTTCATCGAGTGACCAAACGTGATAGCTTTTCGGGGCGAGGTGTGACCATCCGTGATAGCACAGTGATCACCCGGGATAGAAATCTACTGTACCGTGACTGTTTGTGATACCCCTGCGACCAAACGTGATAAAACGGGCATAATTGTGACCTCCTGTATAATTTCCCTAAATTCCCCTCCTGAGAATCGCATGCACCCCAAAGCCGGAGCGTGTCAGGATGTGGATCATGCCCTTCCCGCACTGGTTCCCATGTAGGAGTCGAGGGGCACGCCAAGGAAAGAGTGCTACTTGGAGTATGGTTTTCGTTCTATTGTTTTTTATTGTTATAATTTTGGAGTAGTGGGATTGGGGGTGCCGCTAGCATTCTGCTTCATCATCCACAAGGTTCGTCTGCGCTTTGATGTCACAGCTACTGTTTTCCGAAGCCTCAGTACAGTTCAATATATACAGTGCGCCGTACGTGTAGATGAAAAGTGCATGCGATGTGATTGCGAAACATCACTTCAACAATTGATGGGCAGGCATGCAGGCACCACCAACACGTTGCTGGGGCACTAACAGAACTGTACATGCATCCATCCTGGGCCTGAGACTGGCTAGCGGCTGATATGGTCATTCGTCTGCTCCAACCAAACCAAGCCACGCCCAAAAAGGGCACTTGACTCCCGCTCGGCTTGCACTGTACTGTACAGTTCAGAGTCCTCTGGGTGTGAGAAGGGAAGGGAACGACCTAGCACAAGGAGAAGGGTGTGTGCGTGATGGGATGAGAAAGTTTCTACTACACCCTGTTTCGCGCTAGCAGAGCATCTGGTTGCAGAATGTATACGGGTTGTAGAACGTCACCACGTTTGAAATGGTCTTATCACCTACGGTACAAGCACATTCGTGAGGAAGCGGTTATGTAGGATGCTACATGGTAGAGAACATAATTCTAGCGTATCAAGACGGTTGCAAAGGGTATACTGCGATATCTGGAATTTTTCGCTCCATTACCACTCCGTCAGCTGGTTTCAGCCAGTCGGTTTATGGCACCTGACCGCTACGTCCAAACACTGTAGCAGCGAATCGCGCAAGGTGAGAGGGTCGAGAAACAAGGTGTATTCCTAGCCCACACACACGAGTCCGCATGCTCAACCTGAGTCTCGTACTATAACGGCCGTCAGTCAGTTCAGCTGCGGAAGGCGAGACAGCACATCACATCCACCACCACCAGCACCTGGGACTGGCATTGGTTAGGAGGTGCGTCCGTTCTGTAAGGGGCTGCTGTCTTGCCTAGGTATCGCGCAACAGAGCTCGAGCGGCTCTCCCCTCTGCAATCTCTGAGACCCTGCAGTTCGCCTTGCAGTCGCAGAGCAAATCTGCAGTTCGCTGTATTATCTTCAACGCATCACGCACCAGACCATAGCACCGAGTCATACCATACCATGCGCACCGTCTTAACGTCTTTTATCAAGTCATTAACCTCGCAGTCGACGCGTGAGAGGCGAGTTAATGTCTACACACATTCACACACGATCGACATTAAAGAGACTCGAAAGGATTTCAGAGACATTCACATCGGAGTCATAAATAGTCTGACTCGCGCCGATGGACAGCTCTTGTTCGCCCACCCATTCTCCGCAAGCCGCATGCATCTCCCCTAAGCATCCCAACGGCCCATTCCTTCCGCATTCTCCTCGCGCGAGCACCGTGCCTGGGGCGCGCTCCCCTAGGCGGAACGCGCCAGCAGTGTTTGCGCAAGCGCACGCGGAGCGAGGGACTGTGCGCGCGCCCAGATTCGCCGCGAATGATGCGTCGACTGCAGCAGCTAGCTGCGCTCCTCTCTCCCCCTCCACCCCGAGAACTCCCACCCGCAACCGCGCACGCCGACACAGCTTTTCCCCCGCCTCGCCTCCCGTTCCCGCAGTCCTTAGTTCCGCCGCCGGCGCCCAGTGTATTAGCAGCGCCAATCCTCCCTCCGCGGGTGCGTCGCCCCGCGCTAGGGAGAGCCGTCTTAGCGAGGGCGGGCGGGGGGAACGGCTCGACAACGGTATCCAGAATGCGCAAGCGGGGCAAGCGGAGGGGCCGACGGGGGCGGCCGAACGACGTTGTGGTACCGAGGCCGCGCGGAGTGCGCCGCGGAATGTGCCGCCCAGAGAGGCAGCAGCAGCAGCAGCAGCCGCAGCCGCAGCCGCAGCCGCAGCCGCAGCCGCAGCTACAGCAGCAGCAGCAGCGGCAGGTGCAGTGGCAGCAACGGCAGCAGTGGCGCGTGGCAAGCAGCTGGGTCGGCGTCACTCCATGAGTGCCGCTGTGCCCGCCGCTGCTCCTAATGCCCGCTGCATCGCCTCCTCCCGCGGCCTCACGGACGGCCTTCCTCATACCACGCAACAGTCGCAGCAGTCGCAGTCGCAACAGTCGCATCAGTCGCAGCAGTCGCAGTCGCAACCGTCGAATCAGTCGCATCAGTCGCAGTCGCAACAAGCGCATCAGTCGCAACAGTCGTGGTCGCAGCAGTCGCAGCTGACGCATCAGTTGCAACAATCGCAGTTGCGACAGTCGCAGTCGCAGCTGTCGCAGCCGCAGCAGCCACAACAGCCACAACAGTCGCAACAAGCGCATCAGTCGCAACAGCCGCAGCGGTCGCAGCAGCCACAACAGTCGCAACAATCGCAGCAATCGCAGCAGTCGCAGCAGTCGCAGCAGTCCCTTGTTTCCCGCACAAGGGTCCCCACCTCTCGGCCCGAACCCGCGATTGCTCCCCTCTTCCCCCATTCTCCGCAACCGCCCGGCATTCCACAATCAGTGTCACCGCGACAGCCGGCGAGGAAAGCAGATAGCGCGCAGAGGAGATTTCCAGGGGGAGACGAGGTGGTGGGGGGGGATAGATTCGCGGAAGCGCCGGGAGGGGCGTCTGGCGGACAGGAGAGGGCGCTCAGGCGCGCGCAGTCGTGCGTGGTTCCGCGCACGGCGGAAAGGGGCGCGGGGAGAGCGGTATCGGGTGCTGTAGGCCGGGGCGGAGGGATTGTAGCGCGGGGGAGGGGGAGAGGAAGAGGCGCGGAGGCAGGAAGGGGGAGGGCGAGGGTTATCGCGATGGACGGCGCGCAGAGCAGCGCAGATGTTCCGCGGAGTGATTTGCGCGCGCAAGCAAGCCCACCCTCTTACGGACTGTTCTCCCCACCTCCGCCATCCGCCTCTCCGCGCGCCTCCTCGCACGCCTCTCCGCCCTCCTTATTATCCGCCTCTCCGTCTCCCGCTCCTCCGGCTCGCGCGACTCCGCCGCCGTCCGCGTCATCATCCTCCGCCTCTCCGCGTTCCCCGCGCCACTCCTTATTCCTGCCATCGCATGCGCAGTCCCCACCCATTCCCGCGCGCTTATCGCCCCCCACCCAACCTGCGCCAACGCCGCCACCCCCCGCGCGTTCTCCGCCCTCATCACTCTCTTCTCCCCCGCCCCCAGCAGCAGCGCCGGCTCCACCTCAAGCCAGCAGCGCCGCGCACAGTGCCCCCCGTGGCGCGGAACGGGGCAGGGGGTCGGCAGCAGTTGTGGCGTCTAGAGAGGGGACGCATGCGACTGGCGAGTGTGCTGCTGCCGCTGCTGCTGCTGGGGCTGCTGGTGAGGCTATGACGTCCAGAGGCCCGAGCGGAAGGGAGAGGGGCGCGGTGCATGCGGGAGGCGCATGCGAAGCAAGCGGGGGGAACGGCGCGGGGCGCGGGCCTGCGGCGGAGAGGAGCAGCGAGGGGAATAACGGAGGGAAGGGGAGTGAAGCGGCAGTGCAGCGGGGGGCATTAGTGGCGGCGGAAAGACGGTCGGGAGAGGGGCGAGGTGGGGAGGGGGAGGCGGGAGGCGTGAGGGAGAGCGGCGGGGAAGTTGGAAGAGTGTGCGCGGCGACTGAACAGGCGTGCGGGGGAAGGAGGGGAGGGGCGGTAGCAGCGGGCGGGACGAAAGGCGGCAGTGAGGAGCAAGGGGGTAACGGGGAGGCGGTGTGTAGAGTGGCGTGCGGGGGGGGTGCGAGTGGCGTGGGTGTAAGGCGCGATGAAGCAGGTCGTGCGAGCACACGGGTGGCATGTGCGGAGGGCGAGCGGGAGCAGCTGGCATGGCGCGGACAGGCCAGTGCGCGCAGGGACGAGGGGAGCTGGGGAAGCGGAGGCGGAATGGGAGTGGGGGTGGGGGTGGGGGTGGGGATGGGGTTGGGGGTGGGAGGGGAAGCGGGTGTGCGAGTGGCGGCGTCACATACACATGCAGATGCGACGGCGTCTGTGGCTCGGCTGATGCTGATGCAGGAGCTGCAGCAACTGAGCGATGAGGACGACGAGGAGGAGGGCGAGGGGGAGGGGGAGGAGGACAAGGGCAGCCCAGGCGACGGGAAGACTGATGTGGCGATGGGAGCGACCGCGGCAGCAGCAGCAGCAGCAGCAGAAGCGGCAGAGGCGGGAGGAGCAGCAGCGGAAGGGGATGGCGTTGGCAGCAGGGCGGAGGAGAGGAGCCGTGTGATGCCGCGCAGCAAGAGCATGGTCACCGGCCCGCTTGCTTCCCGTGCTTCCAGTGATGCCCCTGCTGCTGCTGCTGCTGCGGGCAAGCTGGGGCGGCGAGTGGTGGCGAGCCGCGCAACGTCCCTGGACACGTTTGAGAACTGGCCCGCCCACAGGACACGCGCGGTGAGTGGAGTGCGCAGGACACGCGCGGTGAGTGGAGTGCGCAGGACACGCGCGGTGAGTGGAGTGCGCAGGACACGCGCGGTGAGTGGAGTGCGCAGGACACGCGCGGTGAGTGGAGTGCGCAGGGCACGCGCGGTGAGTGGAGTGCGCAGGGCACGCGCGGGGTGAGACAGGCAGGAGGGCAGAGAGAGTGAGGTTGGGTGCACGTGCTGTGCTTGGGTGGAGGGCGCCACGGGGATGGCGTGGGGTGAGGTGGGGGCAGGGCAGGAAGGACTCCGTTGAAGAAGTGCAGCAGGGAGTGGCGCAAGGCACGCATGGGGATGATGCTCCCTGTGCGCCTGTGCAGCAACGCAGCAAGCAATGATGCGCCCTTCTTTTAAATGCTCGCCCACGCCCATGCCATTGTTCTGTCGTTCCTTATCCTCTGCTTTGTATGTATCCCCCCCTGTGTCCCTGTGTCCTCATCATCATCAGGCGTTTCGCCCCAGCAGGGCGCCCTCTCACCTCCATCGCCCACTCTCCGCCTCCCCCTCGTCTCACGCATCTGCCGCCTCCACATCCTCCTCCAACCTGCCTGCCACGTCAGCAGCTCCTGCCCAAGTGAATGCCACGTCAGCACCCTCTCTTCAGCGACAGGAGAGCGCAGCGGCACCATCCAGCAACGGGCAGCAAATGCCCGGAGCGCAACCAACCCAGCGATGCTTGCAGCCGTCAGGCACAGCCAGTGGCAGCATGCCACGTGGCAGAGGAGAAGGCGAAGGGGCAAGGGGGCCAGGATGTGGGGTGAGAGCACAGTCAATGAGGGCGAGGGTAGGTGGGGGGAGAGAGGGGGGAGAGGAGGCGGAGGGGGCAGAGAGGGGAGACGAGGAGGAGGCAGTGTCTATCCACGCAGCGCGCTACGCAAGGTCAAAGAGTGACAAGACATGGGAGGGAGCGCGGGCAGCAGCAGCAGTGCACGGAGCAGAGCAGCAGCACTGGCTGCTGGGGCCTTGTGCACCCATTGCTGAGGCGCCACACGAGGCATCATCGCCTTGCCGCCATGCCCCTCCAGCTGCTCTTGGCGGTGCGTGCGCAGAGTGCAGCGCGGCTGGTCGTGCCAGCGGCAGTGAGCGTGGTGCGGGAGGGCATGGTGTGGTGTCAGTGCAAGGCGGTGAGACTGCTGGTGCTGGGCTGTGGCATGGGCATGAGGATGGGCATGGGAATGGGCATGTGAGCATTTGCATATCCGCGCTCTCTGCAGAGACAGAGGGCAAGGGAAACCCAGATTTTGGCTGGATGGGGAGGAGGCTGGAGGAGAGGGATGGAGACGGGTCATGTGTCATGCCATGTGGTGCGTGTGAGGGTGGCACCACCGACGCATGCACATGCGCATGTGACGACGCGGCGAGTGTGAGTGGCAGCGACCCGCGGCACAGGAGCACGGGCAGCAGGAGCAGCGTGCTGTCTGGGATCACCACCGACACATGGGGCACTGCCAGCACTGCCAGCACCACCAGTGCCGGTGGCAGCACACGAAGCATGTGCAGTGAGGGGAGTGGGGGAGGGATGGGGGGAGGAGGAGGGGAGGGGTGGTTTGGGGCGAAAGGCGGCAAGGGGGGTCCGGTGGCGGTGGCGGTGGTGGTGGGAGCGGGAGTGGCAGGGGCGCGCATGAGCATGGTGAGAGCGCTGAGCCGCAGCGTGAATGTGAACCTGCGCTTGCCCTCGCAGCATGCCCCCCACCGCTCACACTCTGACTCTACCACCAAGCACAGCCACGCTGCACCCAATGGGTGTACCAGCCAGGACAAAGCACCACCCAGCAGCAGCGGCAGCGGCAGCAGCAACATGAGAAGCAGCGGCAGCGAGGGTGGCCTGAGATCCATCAGTATGGGTGGCACGAGCAGCAGAGCCAGCAGCAGCAGCAGCAGCAGCAGCGGAAACTACAGCGGTGGCAGGCCGCGCAGCAGCAACGGGTACATGGGTAGTCGCAGAGTAATGCTCATGGACCAGCCCTTCCCTCCTGCCTCCTCCTCCTCCTCATCCTCTGCCTCCTCCCCTGCTGACTCGTCCTCTCTTGCATGTGATGCCAGTGGTGCTGCTGCTGACAGCGCAAGCACCAGCAGCAGCAGGGCGGGTGGTGAGAGAGGCTTGCCCGCGCTCTCTTTACCGCAGATCCGTCCCGCCTCCTTCCTCTTCCCCTCGCGCTCCTCCTCTCGCACCTCCCCCGCTGCTGCTCGCTCTCCCCTGCCCTCCCGCACCCATCCTTCTGACGCTGCTGCTCCCACGCGAAGCGTTCCCACCAACCCCACGACCCCCACCACCTCTCAGCAGCCTCTCCCCCAAAACTGCACGCGCACGACCTCCACTGGAGCTGCTGCTGCCATCCAGAACAGCACCAGCGCCAGCACCACCAGTACCAGCACCCATGGCAAGAGCAGCACAACGAGCAGCAGCAACGGCGCCACCAGCAACGGCACCAGCAGCAACGGCACCATAAGCAACGGCACCAGCAGCAGCAGCAGCAGCTGTGCGAGCAGCAACGCGCCTCCAGGCTGGAGGGCGGGGCGGCGGTGGCGGAGGGTGAAGCTGCGCCTGTCTTCCGCGCACCCGCCCTGCCGCCTCTTCTCCCCTGAGGACCTCGCTGCCGCCACTCTGTCCTTCCACCCTGAGCGCCTGCTGGGGCAGGGCGCGTACGGCCCTGTGTACCGCGGGGAGCTGGACGACGGGGTTGCTGTAGCTGTCAAACGCATGAAGGCCCGCGCTGCAGCGGGAGCAGCGGGAGCGGTGGGGGTAGCGGGAGGGGCAGGAGCGGGTGAGCAGAAGCGGGAGGAGCGGCGGGGAGGAGGGGGTGTGGTGTGGGAGGCGGAGGGGGAGGAGGAGAGCAGTGGCGTGGAGAGCTTTGAGAGGGAGGTGGAGGTGCTGAGCCGTGTGAAGCACGACCACATCGTGCAGCTCATTGGGTGCTGTCCTGACGACTGCTCGCTAGTCTATGAGTACATGGCCGGGGGCAGCCTGCAGCAGCGGCTGGAGCAGCAAGCACTCTCCTTGACCAGCGGCAGCAGCAGCAGCAGCAGTGGCAGTGGCAATGGCAGTAGCAAACCCTCACCTGCTGTGTCCTCTTCCGCACCCGACACCTCCGCCCCGCAGCCTCTCCTGTGGCAGCACCGAGTGCGCATCGCACATGAGATCGCATCCGGGCTGCTGTATCTGCACCGCAGCCAGCCGCCCATGATCCACCGCGACCTCAAGCCCGCCAACGTCCTGCTCTCCGGCCACGACTGCAGCAAGATAGCCGACGTGGGCATCGCGTGTGCGCTCGCCAACCCCTTTGCCACGTCTGTCAAGACCCACCGCGTGCGCGGCACCGTGGGGTTCATCGCCCCAGAAGCCATTGCTTCGTTCGAGCTCTCGCCTCGGTCTGATGTGTACTCGTTCAGGATTCTCCTCCTCATGCTGCTCACTGGCTTCACCTCCTCTCGCTCTGTCCATGACATGCTGGCGCAGGCCACCCCGCCCGGCCGCCCGCGGGACGTGGAAGTTGCTGTCGCACTGTTCACTGCCAGGCTGGATAAGAGGGCGGGGCGCTGGGATTTGGGGCTCGCGCGGAGGGTGGTGCGAGTGGGAGTGAGGTGTGTGGAGAGGTGTGCTGAGATGCGACCTGACCTAGAGGAGGAGGTGGAGCCGGAACTTAGGGAGGTGGCGAGGGAGGCGGTCGGTCAGGCAGGCTGAGGAAATGAGCCGTGCGGGGGGTGGTGGAGATACAGGTAGGTTTAGGGCACGAGAGGAAGGGAATGGTTTGTCTTCGTTGTGGATGCGTCAGGGCCTGTATATTACCAGGATAAGAAATCCTACTTTCCCTGAAATCAACATGCGTAGTGCTGGGGTGTCAAGAAGGGCTCTCGCAAGACAATATAAGAAACAAGATGCTTCTTATGTGCACTTGATTGCCATGCGAAACATTTGACATTTTAGACTATGTTCCCGAAACACTGTTACGGTTGTGCCGTACACGCTGCTTTGATCATCGTGAACATAACTGGGGCCGACATCACAAATGCCCAATCGTCATTGGCACACACACTTGTGCGATCGATCAGACAACAGTGAGCACATATCGAACCTCCCCCGAACCTCCCGATTGTCCGCTTTACCAATTGACACACCTTGGAGAAGCGCACGCGCGGTTCGCCGCGATGGCGGGTGAGGTGTGGAGAGTTCATGAATGGGATTGATTGTGAACTACGAATGACATTTGGGAATTCGCACTGGGTGTGACGTAAAATTCAAATATTTACTCAATGTTTTGCATGATCGCGGTGACATTCTGTATGCTTTTTGGTAGAGGACTGTCCAGTGTTGCGAAGTTTGCGTGCGCCCTTACAGTGTTCCTTCAAGACACGTGTGTGGCTCGGCACTTCACATTTCAGATTATGGTCAGCTGTCAAGATAAATGTTTTTGCACAACCATTGGTTTTTTAACAACGATACAGTTCACTATTCGAACAACAATGAAGAAGTTATGGTTGGACAGAGCTGTCAAATGTTCGTCGCCCAGCCATGGCATTGCCCGTTTGGCTGGTGCCCCAAGCTTCGGGTAGTTATAAAGAGGTGAAGCGCTTTATTCCCACACCATCGTTGTCATTGGTGCTCTGCTCACAGCAAGTCATCCCTAACCCTCCTTCAAGTTGTTTTTTTTTTTTCCACAATAACAAAATTTTAACATATAGAGAAGTAATAAAAAGTATCCATATTTTTGGGATGTTCTAGTTTTAAAATATTACAATGTAGCATAATTACGCAAGGAAAAGGAGTGGAAACGGGAAGAGAGGAGAAAAGGAGGAATAACGTGAGTAGAAAAAAAGAGAGAGGAAGAAAGAAGGAGGGGAATAGGGGAAAAATGATAGGAGGAAGAAAAACAGGGAAGAAGGAAGAAAAAGCAGCACACACAACCCCAAGAAAACCCCAATAGCACACACATTTAAAACACCATCAAGCCCTCCCATCAAAGCACCCCAACTGCACTCCCATCGAACCAAACCTCCCCCCCTAAACCCACTCCCTAAACCCGCATGTCTACCAAGTATGGTGCATCCGCCCACGGAGCATCCCATCCCATCTCCTCCTCAACATCCTCCCGCTCCACCCAAACAGCCTCTGGGCCTCTCATCATCGACGCCGCGCGTAACAAGATCACACGCGCCTGAGCCCGTTGCAAAGCCACACCCACAGCCGCTTTGAGCGATCCGAGCAAATAAGCCGAGAAACCCTTTCCCGTAGCTCGCGCCGCCCCTTTCGTCTTTGCTATCTCGATCTGCGCGTCACCCTGCTTCTTAAGCCACCGTCCAAAACTCCCCCCCAAGCATCCCCATGTCTCAGCAATGAGTGGTGTGAACTGCACTCCCCCATGCCGCTGTAGAAGCGATTTGTAGTCCGCCGTCTTCCGCTTTTCTCTCTCTCTCGCGGCAAAACCCACCTTGCGACCAATCTGTCCATGGTGCTGCGCGGATAGCGAGATAGGATCTACCACACTAACCTCCAGCGCGTGCTCCTCCCCCTCCCTCAGTTTCCGAACCGCCACATCAACCCTCTTCCCTGGGAGCAACGTGTCGTCTTCCATGGTCACAATCCCACCCGCACCCTTAGCTATCTTCGCCACCACAAATTTAACCGCATCGTGAACCCGAGAAGGTGCATACTGATACTTGCAGCGAAGGGCATGATGCGGGTCAGAGGGATCAGCAAACTCAAACCCACACGCGCACTTGCCGGCCACTATCAGCTGCTGAATAGGGAGGCCTAGGCGCATGGACGCGCAGATGCTCCACTCGGCTGCGGTGAAGGTAGCCTCCTCGTGCGAAGGAACGGCAGAAACCCACGCCCCAGCCCCCGGGCCCTGAAGGGATGTCAAACGGGCCAGGGTGGCATCGTTGTGGGCCATGCCTCGAAGAGATTGGAGGCTCTCAACCGCCAGGCGACGGTGTTGTGTGGGGAAGAGCAGCATAGGCGGATCAGCGGTGCACAAGGCAAGGGGTGGCATCTTTTGCCGAACCGACTGTGGAAGCAGATCCACTGCTCTCGCAAACCAGGGGTCCAACAAGGTCGTAGCCTCGGGCGTGCGGAAAAACTCCTCAAACATCCGCTCCTCACCTGCCACCCCCAACCGAGCCACATCGCTCACTGCTTGGCACCAGCCACATGCATACGACAGAGGACTAAGGTCAGCCGCAGATCGAATGCCGAACCCCCCGAGTCTGGCAGGAAGGTGCAGCTGTAAACGAGCCATCTGGGACTTCCCCGAATCGTGATCCCAGGTACTATCTGGAAACAGCTCCTCGAAACAATCTTCCAGCTTCGTGTCCCAGTCCCGAAAAGCCTCCACAACCTCAGGTCGTGGAGGCATCGTCCGTGTGAGGTAGATCGGGCGCGCCGACACTGCGATCGCCAACAAATGGGACGCAATCTGTGGGTGGTCAAGCAGAGGAAGCCAGGGGACAGGTGCATGCAGCTCCGTCAGCCGGCGACGCAGGCTAGCCACCTCCCAGTCCTCCTCCCCAATGGGCACCCCTACCACAGTGAGCCCCGTCCATGTCTGCTGCATGCCGGGCGGGACAGTCTCATTTCTCTCCTCCCCATCCTGGTCCCTCCCTCGCTCCCATAGCTTACACTTATGCGGCTGCACCTCCAAACCCAGCCCGTCCAGTCGTTCCCGCAAGGCCTCATAGGCTGCTAGAACCCGTTCCCTAGGCCCCAGGATATACGTATCGTCAGCATAGCTGAGGAAGAGTAAGTCGGCGTACTCCGTTTTGGTTGGTTCCATAACCAGCTGCTGTGTGAACGCGAACAGAAACGGACCCAATGGATCCCCTTGCCTCGAGCCCCGCTCGGAAGCCAAAGCTTCGACAAAAGGGCCCGCTCGGAGATAGAGGTCGCTAGGAGTGCCGTAGAAGACACGCAGAAATGGAATCAATCCCTTGAAAGGCGACTGTCGAAGACCCTCAAACATTTCCCGCCGATGGAAGGAGTTGAAAGCGTTCGCCACGTCAATTTGCAGCGCGCACCACGACGGGTGAGTAGAGATGGCGGAGCGAAAGGCATGTGCGAGGACTTCCACTCCCGACCTGGACCCGACTCCAAACTGGTTACACGGAGCAAAGTGCGACATCATCTTCGGGCGAAGCACGATGCATATGGCCCGAGATAGTATGCGGGGGAGCACCTCGCCTATAGCCACCGGGCGAACGTCACCATTCGGCTTCGACAGGCCCACCAAGTTGGACGCAGTGAGCCAGGGTCGCACGCGCTCCGCTACCTCTCCCTTGGTCCACTGGGTGAAGACCTCTAGCAGGTGGGACAGATACGCGGGCTCAGAGAGAAAAGTGTCGCGCAGGTGCTCCGTCACCCACCCCGACGGTCCTGGTGCGGACGCCCTAGCCGCTGAGTGGATCGCCTGGCCGAGTACCTCCACTGAGAGCTGTGGGATAAGGGAAGGCTCGACTGTCTCCTCCTGCACCCACCCAGGAATGGCGGACTCGCACGATGGGTGTTTCGCTCGTAGCGCGTCCACCATGTGCTGAGAGGGCTGAGCGATGCTACCAGCCGTAAGGCACGCCAAACCCCGACTCCATTCTCCCACTTTGCACCTTGTACGGCAGCGGGATAGGCGCACGGCATCAGGATCATGCTCGGGTGGGGTGAAGGACAAGGGGCGAGCCGCAGGTTGCATCGCCGCCACCGCCAACTCAAACAGCTGCTGCCACTCCCCAGCCCAAAACTTCTCCAACCGCTCCCTAATTGCCGCCCTCTGCCCCTGGCCTTGCCCGGTTGGAATCCCCAAGAAAAGACGAGGGAAGGCCAAAAACACCAAGGATGCCGCCTCGTCTGCTGCCTTTGACTTGAGCCGCTTCAGGATACAAGCTAGTGCATCAAGCACCCCCAGTCTTGCGCGCTGTGGGATGCGACGCATGATTCTCCCTGGCACCAATTCGATCCCGAAAAACGACTCCCAGTCCCATGTGGGAACTGCGGCCCACACCTCTTCACTGATATCCCGTGGTGGCGGAGGTTCGCTGTCCGAGTCGTCTGTGACGTCGCGGGTCAACCCAAGCGCCTGTGCACGGCGCTTGGCGTCCGCTGCCCTGCAGGCCGACATATGACGCGTGGCCTTTCCTCTCTCCGTGAAAGTGCGATAACAGGTTTCGCACGGGATGCGGGGCGGGGGTGTCAGCATAGGGTCTGGGTGCTCCTCTCCACTCGAACACGCCGGCAAGACCTGTCTGCTCGACTCCATCTCCATCTCCCCCTCTGGCAGCCTCGCAAGCTGCACCCCATCGGGCAGCTCCTGCTGCCCTCCGCTCTGCAGCTGTTGCTGCCCTCCGCTCTGCAGCTGCTGCTGCCCTCCGCTCTGCAGCTGTTGCTGCCCTCCGCTCTGCAGCTGCTGCTGCCCTCCGCACTGCAGCTGCAGCTGCCCCCCACTCTGCAGCCGCTGCTGCCCTCCGCTCTGCAGCTGCTGCTGCCCTCCGCTCTGATTGGGCTGCTGCCCTCCACTCTGCAGCTGCTGCTGCCCTCCGCTCTGCAGCTGCTGCTGCCCTCCGCTCTGCAGCTGCTGCTGCCCTCCGCTCTGATTGGGCTGCTGCCCTCCACTCTGCAGCTGCTGCTGCCCTCCGCTCTGCAGCTGCTGCTGCCCTCCGCTCTGATTGGGCTGCTGCCCTCCGCCCTGCAGCTCATGCTGC